TTTTTTTATTTTTTTATTCTTTTTTGGGAATAACTAAACAATTTTTCTCGAAACTTTCCCACATTTGATCCTAACCGCACTTCCACGCAACTGTACTTCGTACACCATACGATGTTCTCAAATTCTATTTTACTCTTCAAATCCCAGTTAATTAGGTCAATTACTCACTGAAATCCCTGGTGGTGAGTGGTTAATTATGATTATGATTATTTCAAGGTGGTGAGTGGTCCACTAATCCCTTAATTTAATCCTTTGTTTTAACCAATACAGGCAACAAAAATATTGCCCCTACATTTGGGACACACCACATGCTAATTTCCATCTCCTTAAAATCTCAAAATATCAAAAAGCCAAATAAATAAATTATGTAAATAACCCAAGTGGAAATTTTCATTCCGTACTATTTATATACTAATCCAAATGTGTTATTCTGCTCAAACTCAGCCCCTGTCACAAGGGCCCGTCCAAAGCCCCTGTCAGTGTAGAATGGTTCAATCAAAATAGAGCACATTCGATTAACTGATTTATTTTTTACTAATTGTAGATATGATTGTAATTCATACACTACGTGTTCAAACTTGGAGATCTATCTTAAAAAATTAACCTTTTCAAGAGGAATATAGTTCAAACATTTATAAGTTTGTCTATATTTTTATCTTTATTTAATATGAGATTTTATTCATTAACATGCGTCGCAAGATGATGGTTCATTTGAGCAAATCAATCTTAAAATTCATGTGTTCTTTTTAATCTTAAGCGGATCGATTTAGTTGTTGGAGTTTAGTGAACTTTAATACGATATTAAGATTTGAGGTTCCATTTTAAAAAATTAACATTTTTAAAAGAAGAGATCGAAACCCTTATAAGTTGGCTTATATCTTTATTCTGTATAAAATTTTATCACTTAACACTGTGGAGGTTTACAACAACTCATTGCATGTAAAATGCAAATGATAATTTGAACTACAACTTTAAAAGGCAATTTCTTTATAAATAAAATTTCATTTATATTTATGATCAATAAAAGTGGAAAAAGTAATTTTAATACTTTGAGAAAAAGCAATGTATGCTTAGAGATATATTAAAGTGGAAATTACATCCTACAAGATTTTTTAAATTTCAAATTCAGAATTCATACTTAAAATTATTTATTATAAAAATCAGATTATAATTCATTTCTTTTTAATATTAACAGCACCAAGCTAGAATCGCAACACTCTTCCTCCAATCTGCATTGGGGACGTTATAGTTGAGTGGGGCTATGATTTATGAGTGCTTCAGGTTTTAAGCACGACATTATATTAGTAAATAGTGGTGTTTCTTCCTCCAATCCGTTTGCATCTGCTTTAGGTATTGGTTATGGTGTTGTCGGTGAGGTGATGGTGCTGTCAGTTGTGGTGAGTTTTGGCAGTAATGGTGTTGATAATGGTGGCGCTGGCGGAGGTGTCGGGTGGTGGCGGTGCAACAGTGCTGACGACGACGGAGCAAGCGGTGATGGTGCTGCCAGTAGTGGCTCAAGTGGTGGTAGAGGTGATACTAGGTGGTGCGATAGTCTGTTGGTGCCAATGGTGACGACTTGGGCTTGGGGTTGGGATGGAAAATTAACCTTTTCAAGAGGAATATAGTTCAAACATTTATAAGTTTGTCTATATTTTTATCTTTATTTAATATGAGATTTTATTCATTAACATGCGTCGCAAGATGATGGTTCATTTGAGCAAATCAATCTTAAAATTCATGTGTTCTTTTTAATCTTAAGCGGATCGATTTAGTTGTTGGAGTTTAGTGAACTTTAATACGATATTAAGATTTGAGGTTCCATTTTAAAAAATTAACATTTTTAAAAGAAGAGATCGAAACCCTTATAAGTTGGCTTATATCTTTATTCTGTATAAAATTTTATCACTTAACACTGTGGAGGTTTACAACAACTCATTGCATGTAAAATGCAAATGATAATTTGAACTACAACTTTAAAAGGCAATTTCTTTATAAATAAAATTTCATTTATATTTATGATCAATAAAAGTGGAAAAAGTAATTTTAATACTTTGAGAAAAAGCAATGTATGCTTAGAGATATATTAAAGTGGAAATTACATCCTACAAGATTTTTTAAATTTCAAATTCAGAATTCATACTTAAAATTATTTATTATAAAAATCAGATTATAATTCATTTCTTTTTAATATTAACAGCACCAAGCTAGAATCGCAACACTCTTCCTCCAATCTGCATTGGGGACGTTATAGTTGAGTGGGGCTATGATTTATGAGTGCTTCAGGTTTTAAGCACGACATTATATTAGTAAATAGTGGTGTTTCTTCCTCCAATCCGTTTGCATCTGCTTTAGGTATTGGTTATGGTGTTGTCGGTGAGGTGATGGTGCTGTCAGTTGTGGTGAGTTTTGGCAGTAATGGTGTTGATAATGGTGGCGCTGGCGGAGGTGTCGGGTGGTGGCGGTGCAACAGTGCTGACGACGACGGAGCAAGCGGTGATGGTGCTGCCAGTAGTGGCTCAAGTGGTGGTAGAGGTGATACTAGGTGGTGCGATAGTCTGTTGGTGCCAATGGTGACGACTTGGGCTTGGGGTTGGGATGGAATGGGATGGGGAGTAATTATGACTAATTATTTTGGTGATTGTTACTAATAGATTAATTGATTTGTGATTAATAAATAATAATATGTTGTGGTGTGTCATGCGTTGTGGTTATGCAGTGTGCAATGGTGGTGTGTTGTAGGTACGGTGGTGCGTGTGGTGGTGCACTGTGAAGTGGTGGTGTAGTGATTATGCGGTGCTATGGTGGTGGTGGTTCTGGAGGGAGTGGATAGGAACAATGTTTGTGACTAATTATTTGAGTGTTGTGATCAATAAATTGTTAATTTCAAATTAGTAAATAATATGCGATTTAGAAAAATGTGTTATTGTGACTAAATTTGTAATTATGACTCGGAATTTGGTGAATTGTGACCAATTAATTTGATAATTTATGATTTTGAAATGAGTTGTGATGAATAAAAGTTTTGATTAGTGATCGATTAATTAATTGTGACCTATAAAATTTTTGACTCGTGATCGAAAAATAATTTATGACTTGTAAAATTTTTGATTTGTGACCAAAAATAATTTGTAACCAATTAATTTGATAATTTGTGACTAAAAAATTGTATAAATTTGAGACTTTAATATATTTAATTAATAAAATATTTTTTAATTAATCATTTTATAAATAAAAATTTGATAATATTTGATTTTTGAGATTTTAAATCTTATTTTTCTTTTTTACTTTTAAAATAGATCATTTTTCCCATATTAAAGGAGGAAAAATTCCAAGAATTCATAATTGAATTGAGGACTCCTTCGGTCCAGAGTCCACAGTGTAGACCATGTGCATATTCCCAATCTTTCAAGATATGGACACCCCCAACAAATTTTCACCATCTTTACTCTCAAGAAGGGAGGGAAAAAATTATATGCCATTCACTTTTTTCACCAAACGCATACTTTAACCAGAAGTAAATTTTTTTATTCAAAAAAAAAAAAATCTATTGAATTAAGGGTCCGTTTGATTGCAAAGATGAAATTGAATTGAATTGAAAACGAACTCTAGGGAATTGAATTGTCTAGAAATTATTTTCCTGGGAATTGTAAATTATTGTGTTTTATTGGTATAATTTTCGACGTGGAAAATGTTATAATAAAAATGTTTTTTTGGTATTCGTTTGACTTTGTTTTACATAAAAATTGTCAATTAAAGGGATATATTTTATTGGTATTGGGAATGAAATTTGTTTCCATTACCAACAAAAAAATAAAAAAATAAAAAAAATCATCTATCTTTTGATGTTTGTTTAACTTTGTTTTACATGAAAATTACCAATTAAAATGAAATATTTTTTTACAATAATTCTTAGAATTTGTTTCTATTGGAGGGGAACGTAACAGGGAACTAGAAAACCAATTCCCATCATATTTGTGGGAATTGGTTCTCAAGGAAAAGCAAGAAAATCAATTTAATGGAATTCAAAACCTATCAAACAAACAAAATTAGAGGAAAGTGAAATTCGAATTCCATTTTCCATGGAATTTGAACCAATCAAATATAGCCTAATAGTAACAACATGTAGAAAATCGTAAAGGGTGATTATATTGACACCACAATTATTATTTATTACACCATATTTTAATTACAGCTATATATTCAACCTTTGTTCACTGTAGCAATTATTTTATTAACTTTTCTCCGTCAAATTTCCATCAATTAGTATGCTACATCTTTGATGATGATTTATATCAAAATATTTTATTTTCATGATTTGAAATGAGGGAAAAATATTTTTTGCTCCTTTTAATTATTTATTTTTAAAAATATGATTGAAAAATAAGTCATACTACGCTATTTCAACAAATTTTCGGACATAAAACTGTTATCAAAATCAAAATGTGTTAACTAATGAAAAGCTTGAGAATAAGAATGACATGAAAATCCATTAGGGACATAAGTACTATAATGAACAAAGATTAAGAACTTTAAGTGTAATTAAAATGTAATGCAAGAAATAAAAATTGTTGTAGTAATATAATTAGCCAATTGTAAAAAGCCTACAACTTCTACAATTGAATTGACCATTTTCTCCCTCCATCTGTAGTAACTTCTCTACGGAAATTCCTTTTCCTCCAAAATCCAAATTTCCAAACCGCAGTAGTGCATTAGAAAAATGGGGTTATGACTGGTTACTTTAAAACCATAAAATTAGTATCCACTGCACTAGATCACGTGCTTGAAATCAGGACCGTCAGCACCATTGTGACGATGAATGAGAAAATCATCACAGCCGTTTATGTTGAAAATTGATGTTTGACTAAGCAACTGCCCCTGGTGTTGCTGCTGCAGCTGCATCTGCAACTCCTTTTGCCGCAGGAGTTCCACCACTTTCCGGTGGGAATTTGAATGCTTGGTGGATACGAAAGTCGGGCTAGCAGCTGGTCGGTATTCTGGTACGAGCCGACCGGACTTATAGCGGACCCCACAAGCGTTGCATAAAGTTTTTGGGCCCATTGGACCGGTTCTCCACTGCGGAGTTTTCTCTGAGGCGCAATGCAGACATTTCCGGCCTGGGGTTTCAGTTGGTCCCCTTTTTTTAGACGGCGGCGTTTTCATGGGCTTGTGGTTGGGGTTTGCGTTGATGGTGGCATTACCGTAGTGATTGTTGGAGGTGGAGGAAGGCGGCGAAGAGAGGAGAAGGCGGGAGGACCAGTCACATGGGGCAGCGCGTGAGCGCTTGCTGCGGGCTTTGCCTGGGACGGGGACATGGGAAGGGAAAATAGGCGGCGGAGGTGGTGAATGGTTGATTGGGGAGACTGAAATTTTGGTGGCGGAGGAGGATGAGGAGGCGGCGGTAGGTTCGGCGGGGATGAAGTGAAGGTTGTGAACATCGTCGCTTGAGAATGATTCCTCCACAAACTTTGAAAGCCATTCCAGTTCCGCTAAATCGTCGCACTGTTCGCAAAAAATATTCAGAAAAAATCAGCATAGAATTCATAAAAATATCAATTCATTTTTCTGAATTTCGATTTCATGCAAAACGCACATGTAAAAAGTTAATTTCATCAGTGAAATTGGATAATTCATATTCAAAAATTCAATTGAATACGTCAAATTGACAACCTACTAAAATTAGAAAATACACAAAGCTTATATCATAACAGAAATTGAATTATTCCCAATTATTTCTGGGAATTCACTTTTTGTTACAGAACAGCAAGTGTTGTAGTGTCGGCGAGGAAAAAGAAAAAGCAAAGGCACACACATCGAGGCATTTCATGCATAAAATTATGAGATGAAAATTTGAAATTATATCTATAATAAAAAAACAAATTATACAATTTAGAATCAAACTCACTGGAACGCAGAGTTCATGGCCGGAAAATTGAGAGCCGATGAAGCTGCGGCAACTAACATGTCCATTTAATAGGCCATCGCCACCGTCAGAAAGCGACGAATTACAGCTGTCAACGGCGGTGACAGCTGAGGACTCGCCCGAATTTCCAGCCAAGCTGTCGAAAAATGCGTCGGTCATCGCCACATCCTCCTTGGAAAAATCTAGCAAATCATCCACAGTAAAATGAGCACCATTACCATTACTGTTGAGATTAATATTATCCACCGAAGAAAATTCAGCATAATCCCCCATAAAATACTCCATCATTTATAAAATTTGAGCACACAAATTTTAATTGGGATTTTTCGTTTGATTTCTGTGGGAAAAAAGAAGCAAAGCAACGGTAGAGAAAAGGGAAAAGGCAGCGTGTGTGTGTTGATAGTGAAGGTGCGAAGGGCGATTTTGATAAGTGAAAGGAGGGGCCTAATTGCAAATATCAGAGAATATTATTAAATTTAGGGGTGACTTAATTATTTTTTATTTTTTCAACGAATGGTTACTTATGTGTTACTTATGCAAACTGTAAAGTACTTCTCTTACCTTTACTTCTTTGCGTAAATAAAAATAAATAAAATCATTAATGATATCAGACTGTCTAACAATATCTTCTTGTTCAATTTTGTTAATTGTTGTATGTCAAATATGCACGAAATACTTTCTACTCAAAGTTTAAATGGTAAAATCGAAATTACATTAAAATATATGTTAATTGATAAAAGAGAAATGGATATATTTGTCTTTTTATTTCTTTTTGGGTTGGATAGTACAATAAAAGCAAATTGATTCACAAGAAAAGCTACTAACTTTGTTCTTCATGTCAAAGACCCTTCTTTTTATAATTGGATTCTTTATTTGGATTGCAAATACAACCTCAACATTGGGATTCTTTAATTAAAGGGAAGCATTCCTCCGTATCATTTATATTGGTTGACTTTTCTTATTTCCTTATTTCAATTATATAGTCATATTTTTTTATTAAGAATATTTTATTTTATTCATTTACTATATACTCTTAATTAATGTGCTTAGTTATAGTCACTCTCCTCACTTAATTTTGAAACTGTATAGATATAAATACGGGTAGATTATGAAAGTTTTTGGCAAAAATTACTTTTTTCAATAATATTAAATAAGATTTTTTTAATCCGTATGAAAACAAAACAAGCATATATAAATGGGATAGATGGAGCAATAATTTACCAAACAAATTTATAACTCAAATTAAGTACTAAGTAATTTATTTCAAAATCACTTTAATCAATAATAACAATGGTGATAACATCCTTGCTCAGTCAATTAGTTCACATTGTAAAGGAGCAGATAAGGAAAATAGTTATAGTCCATATTTGATTTCAATTAAAAAGTTGATTACAATTTAAGTAAAATCAACATTTAATTTTAACAACATATTTAGCCCATATTTGAGCCACATTTTAGGAAGAAATGCATTATTCATGTCAAATCAATGAAAAATGTATGGTTAAAAAATAAAGAAAAGTTTTAGATTTACGTGTAATATTATTTTATTGAAAAATGTATATTTAAATGATGTCAAATCACTGTTGAAGAATATATTTTTTTGAAATTAATGTGACTCAAACAAGTCCTTAATAGAATTCATAAATTTTTACCATATATACCATTATTTTTTATTAAAATTTATTAAAAATCTATTTTTATCTATGCCAAATGGGTCAAAAGTGAAAAAAGTTGAGATAAAAAGAGTAGTAGTGATTAATTACTTGAGATTCAACTTTTTTGCCTTAAAAAATCGATTTTGTCGCCGTGACTTCTCCGTTAGTGTCCAAATTTACAGCCGGATACCCCTGCTTATTTTCTCTCTCTAATTATTTTGCCATAGGGATTTGCGCTTTTGTCCCCGTAATTTAATTTTTTTTATATATACTTCCCCATTAATTTTAAATTCCATTATTAGCAGCACCCTTACAAGTTTTACCTTATATTACCATGTTATTATATTCCTTAACCCACGTTGAAGCACGATGGCCACAGCTTGGCTTAAACTAGTAACGGTCAAGATTAATGCCACGTGTCACTGTAATTGTTTTGAAATCTACTTTCATGAATAAAGCCACTTGTCCATGGTGAAAACAGAGGAATAAATAAATAGATTGATGTGTCAGAAAATGATTGGATGTTTTTGTTTTAATTTTTCAAACTATTCAATCATGCATCGACACGTGTTTCATCTGAATTTAAGTTTGAATTTGAATCTAGATGTGTAGCATGATTGTTCTTTCATTACCAATTGGGTTTAAAGAATTTGATTTTCATCTAATACTGTTTACGAGTTGATACTACATGGTGATTACTAGTGTACTTAATTCCCTTTTTTACTTCTGCAATAGTGGAACGTGTTTCACTTCTTCACTTTCGTTGTCGATCACATTAATGATCATACTATTATGATCAATAATTATAACAAACCTCCTTATTATGCTCGTCTTTCCCTTTTCATCTTTAATGGATGCTCCCCTTTCCGTTAAACTCTGATATCGCATTTAGGGTGTTTTTTATTGTAAATTTTTTTAAGGAGAATGGCATATTTTTACTCGAATTTCAACTTTTGAAGTATTTGATTACCATTTTTTCATAAAAAAATATTTTCCACCTTTTAAAAATATACTTAGTTTTCCTTATTTTTCAGGAAAACATTTTTTTTTTTTTTGAGCGAAGTATGTTGTTTTCCTCAAACAAGAAAAATATTTTTCGTATCAATCAAACACACCTTTAGTGCTATAAGTTCCCTTAGAATGATTTAGAAAGTTGCGAATCGTAGCTTTGAACGATAAAATTTGATTTATATTTAAATATTTTCACATTTTTATAGATTGACTAGTGTATTAAACTAATAACATTGTTCTCATATTCACATTGGGCAAGATAAGATTTCACATTGGAGAGAATTGTAAGTGAGGTTTTCATGTCGCATCAACAAGTGAAATTTTTATTGTAAATTTTTCTATGGAGAATGGCATTTTTTTTACTCGAATTTCAACTTTTGAAGTATTTGATTACCATTTTTTCATAAAAAATATTTTCCACCTTTTAAAAATATACTTAGTTTTCCTTATTTTTTAGGAATTTTTTTTTTTTTTGAGGGAAGTACGTTGTTTTCCTCAAACAAGAAAAATATTTTTCATATCAATCAAACACACCTTTAGTGCTATAAGTTCCCTTAGAATGATTTAGAAAGTTGCGAATCGTAGCTTTGAACGATAAAATTTGATTTATATTTAAATATTTTCACGTTTTTATAGATTGACTAGTGTATTAAACTAATAACATTGTTCTCATATTCACATTGGGCAAGATAAGATTTCACATTGGAGAGAATTGTAAGTGAGGTTTTCATGTCGCATCAACAAGTGAAAAGTTTTTGTCCTGCTCGCTATATGCAGGAGAATAGCAGTTATTAAACTAAATAAATCTTTTTTGGAATTCCTTTGTACCATACTCGTAGCATTTTACCTAAATTGGATGGGAAAACAAGAAATCAAATAAAAAGGTGACATAATTTAGTACCATAACCTATCATGTGATCAATTTACACCACATGTTTTGTTTGGTCGATTTACCCAAAAGATTTTAATCCACATAATAGTAGCTACTAATGGTAAATTTCATAATAAGAATTTTAGGAAGAGAAAAAGAATTATTATTAATCTCTTGTTAGAGAAACATGATCCTCATGATTATTTCATACCACACAATATTTTTCAACATTGAATTCTTTTATAAATTTGCAGCATAACTTCCAGAATTTATTAAACACGTTGAATCGAATAAAATAGAATATGTAAAGGAAGTTTTACAAATCTTCATAAGCTAAATTTTTAATTCTTCATAACCTATATGCTTTGAAAGCAATATTGTGTAAAGAAAGACTCCTCTCGTCCTCAGATCAGGACAGAACATTATGAACCTAAATAGTTGGACGAACCCTAACTCATCGTCTAGCGCTACGAGAAAAGGATACTGTACAAGAAGAGAGGGGTTAGATCTTTTCAGAAAATAATTTATTTTCATTTATATTCGTGGGGTCCAACTAAGCAAGTTAGGAAGTATTTTGTGCCATCATGTGAGAGACTTTTCATACGTAGACGTTAACCGTGGTCAAAATTCGAAGGAAAATGCCATATGTATAGGGTTATTGTTTATAAAATTTTTACAGGTATTGTAGTGGTGTTACATGATTGACAGTTTTTTGTTTTTCAACTACAAATAAAGTCTTGACAAGTGTATCCCTGTAGAAATCCTGTAAAAAAAAATTTTGTAAGTGAAGCATGATTCAAATTCCAAAAAGCTAGAAATTGATCTTTTTCTATGCTTCACACACGTAAGCCTACATTACGAACGTGATTGCATGTGCAGGAAGTCACGTGATTGGCATGTTCCTAACGTGCCCCTTCTCTTAACGTGTGGGTTTCCTTAGGGGTGGCTCAGCTCGTTGCTCGTGGGTCAAGCTCGTGGCTTGAAAGCTCGCGATTTTTTTTTATTTTTTTTTTTATTTTTCAGTAATAGATAAAACACTCCTCCTTTATTCGGGTTTGGAACTGAATACTTAAATTTCGAGTATGCGGAATTAAAAATTGTACATAAACAACTTGTTACGTATATAATTTTTTAAAAATAATAAAAATAGTATTATAAAATAACAAATTTTTATTAATATAGTTAAATTAAATATCACTTATCTAACGATATTCAATTTCAATATATTTATCTTGCAGCCGAAAACAAGTGTTTTGCTACTTCTTCATGCACATTAATGATTCTAAAATATTTTCTTTCAGCCAGCTCCTGACCTCGAACAGAACCAACCATCTTACTTGCATTAAAAGCAGACTCCAAAGTGATAATGCTAACCAGAGGTGTTGATAGGTCTTTTGCAATTACAAAAACCACTGGCCATCGTTATTCGTACTTTTTTCAGAATTCAATTACTTCTTCACAACTTTTTTTAATTGTTTTATTATTAGACATATTATGATTAAAGTAATCAATTAATTCAGCAGACAATGAGTGTGGACTTGCGCCGGATGTTTGATTACATGCGATAGATATATTAGTACTAGAGGAACCTATTGCATTTGTATCATATATATACGTATTAATGCCTTCAAATTAACTTAATATTTCAACGTTGTCTTCTTAAATATTTGCGGGAAGAGTAGGTGCAGAGGATGCTTGACTAACATTTGCATCCATTCATTCTGCATATAATTCATAAATTTCACATAAAATTTGTTCTAAATTTCTATAAGTGATCGGAGTATTAAAAGTTAAAGTTTTTGAAATCTGATCAAGTACATATTTAGTACCTGATAATTTGTATCGGAGTCCAT